AGAAATCGCTAGACACACGACACAGGCGACTGGACGACCGATATCGCGTTTTACCGTGGCCAGGAGACTGCACGGTGGTGGTCTGTTTGCACGACGCCCTGTAAGGTGTGTACCTTTAACGCCTGCCCATCGGAGAAGGCGTTCTCTGTGATGCCGGGAAAACCGGAATTGGAGAGACAATGAATGGGGACGAGTACTCTTTACAGATGAGAGCAGATTCAGTTTGAGTAGCGATTCTCATCGCATACTTATCTGGAGAGAGCGGGGAAGCCGCAATCATCCCTCGAACATCATTGAAAGGGACAGGTATGGAGGTCGCGGTGTTCTCGTTTGGGGAGGCATCATGCTTGGTAGTCGTACAGACCTTCACATCTTCGACGCAGGTTCAGTCAACGGGACCCGTTATTGTAACGAGATTCTTCTTCCATATGTGCGTCTTTTTAGAGGCGCTATGGGCTGTAGTTCCTTTTCATGGACGACAATGCACGATGTCATCGCACAGTAGCTGCCGAACAGCTCTTAGAGAGTGAGGATATTGAACGTATGGATTGGCCGGCACGATCTCCGGATCTCAATACCATCGAGCATGTATGGGATTTTCTAGGCAGACGCTTGGCAGCTCGTACCTTATCACCGGCAACGATTCGGGAGCTTCGATTGGCGCTGCAAGACGAATGGGCAGCAATGATTCAACAACTCATTGACACCCTCATTCTCAGCATGGGCAGACGCTGTGAAACCTGCCTAGCAGTCAGGGGAGATTATATCCCCTACTAAAGACCGGATGTTTCTTGCTGGACACCCATCACAGGGATGTTTCGGCCTTCAGTCGCATTGCGCTCCATGCTACTTTTTCAATCAAGCTTCTTTTTATCCCTTTAATTTCTCTTTTAGTAAGTGTTGCTTACATTACACATGTCCTTACGTATTGGGGATCTTACGGTATTAAATGTGTAGATTTGGAAAGCTTTTGTACAAAGTTATATTGAAAAAACCGTCTCGTCCTTAATTTTTGCACACCAGTGTATATATACATATGTGTATATATACATATATATATATATATATATATATATATATATATATATATATATATATATATATATATATATATATATAGGGAGAGAGTGGACTAATAGTAATAATTGAAAAAGTAATTATATATATGTCAATAAGTCGTGCAAAAAATGGCAATATCACTGAAATAATTGGTCAATGTAACAATGCATACCCGGTTTGGCTAGTTTGGCCGAAAGATCGGTTTTCAACGCCAACTTTTGTTATTGTTTTAACAGTTACATTGTTACAACAATGGAGACGAATCTAAGTTGCCGTCAAAAACCAGTAATTAATTTAATTAATGAATTAACATTTTAATAAACTGTATTAACATCAATTGTGATCCACTCCCATTTTAAAAAATTCATTTGAACTTGATTGGATGAATAGAAAGTTTTTTATGAACGATTGAAAATTTGAACAAGACAGATATGTAACGTAAATAAATATACGTATATATAGAGAGAGAGTGAGCTAATATATATAGTAAGAATTGAAAAACGATAGAGCATGACTTTATTTATAATGTATCCCCATAAAGGAGAAAATATCAAGCCGTAAATCTTAAAAAGGTAACGATTTTTTGTTCAAAACAAAATTATGTTTTTTATTATAAAACCCTTTATTTTTGTTTCATGATCTAGAGCAGACTTTTACATGGCACGGTCTACTTTTAATTTTTTCAAGATGTTGCGGGCCACCTTGTGACGTAGGTGTGATGAACGAAAAAAAACAATACTCAACAATATTTAAATTTTAACAATAATAAATAAAGAATCTGTGTACTTACCTACATAACTACAGTAGAAAAACTTACTCTTTTAAAACTACATTTGAAGTAAAACGCAAAATAAAAACATTATAATTATACCCATAAATTTAATAGTATCAAATGATGATTTTTCAATCAATTCACAATACATCAAAAAACAAATAATTGTCCCTTAAAATTACGAGTAGTTCTCGTAGCTCTAGTCTCAGTAGAAGACTTAATCTTCATATTATCAGCCTCAATCTTGTGAATACCTCGGTATATATAATTACTAACTGCTAATCTTGCACTGGATTATAAGTGGACGTCTGTGAAACGGGAATGATATGTTGTCTTAATTATATTCCTCTTTCAAAATGGAGATTTACACAGATAGGTAGAGCAAAAGAAAGATGTTAAATGAATTGTGTAACTTTTTTTTAAATTGTGGGATACTTTACTTCGTCTATTTTAGATTCCGAAAGATATTTCTTACAAGTTACCTCTTTTTGAAGGAGAAAGAAAGTTTCGTTTTCCTCGGAGAACATGTAACATATTTTTAATTATATTTTTCCCCTCAGCATTGCCAAATGGGTAACCCATGAATGCAACTTTTGATTCTAGTCTAGTAAATTCTTGAAAACGTCTCTCAAATTTGGGTTACAGTTTTATTCACGGTTGTCTCCATTATCTTGATAACCACCTGCGTTTCTTTTAGTATGCGCGCTTCTAACGTTTTTATGGGTCACTCCAAAATGTCTTGGTGGTCCACGGGTCGATCGTGATGGACTTAATGTTCACTCCGGATGTAGAGCAATGGATCCCATAGTGGCTCCTACGAACCCCCAGGGGCGCCCTATATTATTCAGGGGGGCCGTGGAAAACTAAAATTGATTTTTGGGTCTGCCCAAGGTTTAATATGAAATAAAAAAAATTTGATCCATTTTTATTTTTACGGAAATTTAAATAAATAACAATAATTCACTTGAATATTCCCGACTGGATGCTGAACCCTTTTGCGCGTGGACTAACTCAAATTCCCAGCACAGATGAATCCATACTAACACAGGAGCATCTTATTGGAATATCCACAAATCAAGAATTCAAACGAATTTGTGAACAAGGATACCACAAATTCTGGTTACAGAAACATATATTCTGATTTTATATCCTGCATTATAGGTTATTGTACAGAAGTTGTTGACTGCTTTCTCGTCTTCCAATTTGGTAGAACTTGAATTCAGTGCCGTAAAAAAACTTATCACCAAAAAAAAAAGTAACCGACTAAAAACTATCGGTCATTAGGATTCGCGGTTGCTACTCCCAAACGTTGAGACAGGCATAAATACAATCATAACATATCATCAAGTTCATCCAAGTCATTTATTTTTTTTTATTTTATTTCAAACAAAAGTTATAATTTCGATAAGTAATTCTTCAACAAAATGGTTTTTTTTTAAATTTGTAATTTTTATATTATGCATTTATGTAGCTCCTTGGGAAAGTTTTGCCTTTAAAAGCGGATCATTGGGAAAGTTTTGATTATAAAAAAGGTCCGAGAGCAAGTTTAAACTATAAAAAGGGGTCAATGGGTTAAAAACGTTTGGGAACCTCTGATATAGAGTGAACATGAGTACATTTTTCTCAGTGAGAGTTATATCAATATTGTCCTCTGCAGCAACACGAGTTCTCTTGGCAAGGAACATCGAAATTTTGAATAATGGGCAAGTAGAGAGGACGAAATCTGAGCTGGAAAGCCCCTTATTCTCCAAACTTTCTCACCCTCTCCAACGGGAGGGCTTTGAGCCTCGACTGATTTTACTGGCATCAATCGAGGCTCAACACGGTGGGTCTTCAGTTGTACTAGGGTTCGAACTCACATGTATATGACCACTAGGCAACCGCGGACTCATTTCTCCATAGGAGGAAATAGTGAAGAAAAAATTTCTTTTCTTGACAAAAAGTACAAGTTTAATTAGACTTTGAATTCAGTATTGAATTAAAAGTCAGTTTTTGATCAATAAACGATTGTAAAATGATGACAAGTATTAAACAATAATTTTATTATCATATATTTTAAAGTATTTTAGGATGTTCTATATTTATATATATACTAATTGTTTTGCTCAATATTACAGAAATATGTTTTATCACATTTGTATTATTCTCATGTACTTAAAAATAATAATAAACAAAGAGTGTAAGAGCGCTCCCCCCTCGGGTGCCCTTCTCCTAGATTATCAGCGTGAGATGTAGGAATAAATGAAGAACTAGAATCTGTCATCATCTTAATATTACTTTATTAAGATCTTAACTTAAACCAATAACAGATTAGATAATATGATATGTGAGAGAATCTACGGTGGCTAAACACACAATATATAATACCGAAATAACGTAACCCGCACCACTATCAATAACTAGCTCGCCTAAGTTCAATTTCAATGCCAACACAGATCTAAATATTTAAATGGTCACTCCTACCATAATGTCCAACGAAGCCGCAATCTATCTGATCCTAGCTGAAGTTGCAGTTCGCTGGCGTGCAATGGTATGCACCTTGACTAAGGGCTCTCTGTCACGGGTAACTGCTCTTGACTGTCACTTAACTTCTTGAAATACTCTTCACACTTGCCACACGAACTAACATAACACTCCCCAAATGCCACGCCGCTTACTCTAAACTTCTGTTATTTAAAAGCTATCTAATTTGCAACTTTCCTTCACGTTTTACTTCTCGGGTTGGTTGGAAAAGAATTGCCATTTATTCTGGCCCCAAAGAACTCAAAAGGCCCGTCACAAGAGCAAAAATTCGAATATTATAGCTCTTATAATATTTCTCAACTCGTAAATCAATATTTAGATCTATTGATGTTAAATAATTATAAACAAGTAATATAAAAAAATCAATTTCTACTTAGGTCAACAAAGAAAATTTTTATTTTAGTTACTTTTTATTAAATAATTACAATTCATGTAAATATGTATATACATATGACAGAATGACACTATTACGTGACAAAATAGAAAGCGATTTTCCTTGCCATTTTCCATTCTATTTTTCCGTTTTCCTTTCTATATAAGGTGTTTAACTATTTTTTTGTTTGTTACTATTTATTCATTCATTAAATTAAATTATTCCAATAAAATAGTATAGTTAAAAAATAAATCACATTCTTAGAAATTAGGCCATCCCAGGTGGAATTTGAAACCACGACGTTTGGATTAGAACTCCTACGCGCTATCCATTGTGCAACAGGGACACAACAAGCAATTTTACTTTCTATACATGCTGTTGGACTATTATTTTTTTACTATTTATTCATTTTTTAATTTAATTAATGAATTAATATTTGAAAAAACTATATTAACATCGAGTGTCATCCACTACAAGTTTAAAAAAACTTATTTGAACTTGATTGGATGAATAGAAAGTATTTTATTAAGGATTGAATATTTGAAAATATATGTGTATATATATATATATATATATAGTAGTAGAATTAAGTTTTTCAGCCGTGCAAAATATTTGTCCTAAATTCGATATTTTTATCCATTACTTATTCTTTAACTCCTACACATTCCCCCCTTTTTTCAAAAACTATTTTTAAATTTCCTTTATCTGCATTAAGTGATGTACTTCGTGTGTATTATAATGCTTTTCCAAATTCAATAATTTTGTTTTTGGTTGTTGTTTTTTCACAATTTTTTCTTTTTTTAATTGTTCTTATGTGTATCGTTCTTAACCAGACCACAGATCAGATTCGTTCCGACTTGTCGTTAACGTTTTAGACAATGAATTCTTAACTGTGAGTTCCGCTCAACCGCGAAGGTATTCGCAGATGGGGAGTCGCGACGGTCCGACGGTTTACCCAAGTTATTTTAGGGCGCGCTCCAACCATGACCTTCAGGACACCAGAGCCCGCATATCGAACGCTCCTAAAATAGTTGGGTTAAGTATTTTTCAATGGAACTTGAAAAAGATGATCCTTTTTTATTCTCTTTCTTTTCATCGGCTTTTTACCTGAATGACCTACATGAGGAACAATTATGACGTTACGGAGCGCTTTCACTCACTTTACCTCGGCGAGAAAAAGGTGTTCTAATTATTCTCACTTCCTGTTCGGTAAGAACTATTACTTTTCTTAACTTTTACACTAGTTATGTTGCGGTTTGTTCGTCAACTCGGCGGGAGACGCGAGCTCAGCGTTTAATTTTAGAAGAGTTTTCCAAGACAGACATTTTTCTGGGATGCACAGATCTGACTTTGAGATATCTCGAACCAAATTCCGATTTATGTTTGTTTATTTATTTCCCTCTCCACCGTCGAGTGGAGTTAAGTTCTGTCAGGCAGGTTTCGAATTTCGCTGTAACCAAACGGTTATTTTCGCTTGTTCATCGAGCCTAGCTTGTGTTTAATCTCGGCATGATTGGAATTGAATTAAAAAAAAAGTTTGATGAAGTTTTAACTGGAATGTTTCCAGAAAAACATCTGAAATTTTTCCCGTCTGAGGGAAAAATAGTGTGCGAGCAATCAGCTAAAAAATATATATATATTTTTGTAAATTAAAAAAAAATTAATTATATTTTTATTTAACAGTCATATTTAGGCTACAAAACTGGCTAATGGCTATCAGATGATGTACCTTCTCAAGTGGAATGCGTTAAATTCATAGTGGTCACGTGATAAATGCCCCCCATCACGTGATCTCCATTGAATTCAAACCACCTCTAGTCTTTCACTTGTTGTTCTACTTGTAAAAAGTTAATAAAAGTTCATAGTTCAGAAATTCAAGTATTAAGATTCATCCAAAAGTTTTTCAGAATTAAAAAAAATCTGGTATTAAAATGAATTTTTAAAGCAAGTGCATTTTGTTTACCTATGAATGTTATTCTTATTAACAAATATGCAGTGTGTGTTTAAGAAGAAATTTCTGTGAAATAGCAAAAGTTGACAACAGTTAAGCGTATAAACTGATTGACTAAAAACGCGTAATGGGCTAAATTCATGTAACCTCATAGTCACATGATAATGACAACCACGTGTTTCTAGCCATTTAGTTCAAAAAATTCATGTGACGTCATAGACACACGATGAAAGCAATTATGCGTTTTGAGCAAATCAGATCAGACGCTTCGTTGTTGCTAATTTATGCTCTTAGCATAATCTTTGTATTAAAAATTACGAATTTTCTAGCAATAGTAACGTACATAGACATACAAAATACATTTTATTAAAAAGTACCTACAAAAAACAAAAATTTTTTTACAACATTTTTTGTTGTTGTTGTTACTTATGCCACCTGATCAACAGTAAAATCAGATCAAGGTCCACGAAATTCATCGTGGTAAAAGGTTAATTGTACACCTGTCTTTAGCCGTAGCTTCGAGCACCGTGCAGGTGACAGTACGATTTGGCTCTGTTCCACCCCAATTTTGAGAGAGAACACCTTGGGGGCTATTTAGGGTACCTCCCTGCCGCAAAGGCACTATACATTTACCAACATCCATGCCGTCTCCGGGATTCGAGCCTAGGCCCTACAGCCCCGCAGTTAGCCTCTATAATTACTTTTATGGATGGGCATTTGAATATCTTTACCCCAGTGCTTTTCAAACTTTCAATGTACGTGACCCACTATTCAATCATCATTTTCATCGCACCCCCTCCATACAATAACAAAGTATTGGATTCAATAATACTATACTTTGACACTAATGCTACAATACGACTTTAACCTCTTGTATGCCACCGACGTATATAAACGTCTCGCTCAGTCAAAGTATTAATTTTCTGGACGTATTAAAACGTGTTTCCGAAGTACGATCTTTTCTGTGCAGCGCTACCCATAAAATTATTCCGAAGGGTTTGGAGTGCAACAAAAGGATCTTGACAGTGTTTGCGAAAGATTTACTCATTTCAGAGGATTTGCCTATTTATTCCTTTTCTCCTCCCCCTCAGAACCCCCCCCCATCAAAATACGCTCGTCTACATGGAAAACAGAGGCACTGGGGAGCAAATCGCGTAACTTTTAATCGGTAGTTAAGAGTAGTCGGTACCCCCTATACCGACAATGTTAAATATAGCTTTTTTAGGAACCTGTTTCTCAGAAATTGTTAATTATAAAAACTTCAAATTTTGTCTGTATATTAATTAGACTTTTTTATTTAAACAATAGTTGTTTTAATTGTATTGTTTACTTTTTTCAAAAAAATTCATCGCAAAAGTATCACTTTTGAAATTTTTGAAAATTGTCATTTTTTTTACGATAACTGCTTTTCAGCAAAATATTTTGGGAAAATCTCCAAAAAAGTAGCTCCATTACATAGAGTTATGTATTATTTATGTGCGGTAAAAATTGCATGTATATTCGTTCTGTAGATTTTGAGAAAAAGGTACACGCAATTTGAAAACAATCATTTTGTGAAAATTGCATTTTTAATGTAAAAAGGCACTTCATCACAAAAATAATTAATTACAACACGTATTTGCCCTATTTTATTAAACATTAGTATCTTCTTAATTTTTTAGCATAAAATAGGATACAAAAAAAGCCTTAAAATGCTCAGAAAATACATATATAGTATTTTTCAGTTTTTGTTCAACGAGATTTTTTTTTTACCATTTCCATCAATTTTCTCAAATTCTGTATCAATCTGTGAAGAATTTTTAGCTTCGAGACATTACAAATATCAAATTTAACCTTAAAACATCATAAATATAATGTAAACATGTATCAATATGTAAAAGGAATGATTTGGGACTATGTGATTTTACGACAATGCGAAAGGTTTCATTATGGATTTGTATGTTCACATAGAAACTTAATTTCTAAAAGTTTCAAAATTTTCTCCAAACTGTACAAAAGATTTCTAAAAAAGTCAAAAATTAAACTGTTTTTATGTTTTTAAACATGAAATTTGTATTTTTATATATATGCATGTAACAAGCTTCTCGCAAGACAAAAATCATTACACATCTGAGTTATAATTAGTTACCTATTATTGAAAAACCTTTGAATATTAAAGCTTAAAAGCTTGTCTGAACAATAAATAAAAATTAATATTTGCAATTAAGTGAAATATTTAAAATATATTGTTTAGTTTTCTCAAAATCATATAACATAAAATATCACTATGAATTTTTAAAAATATTAACATTTTTTTGTCACGGTATATGGACTTCAAAAAGTCTCCAAAAAGCTCACATGAATATATATACTTACATATCAGTAACTCGAGGAAAGAATTTCATGTACATTCATACATTATATTCTAAGAAAAAAGATACATGCAATTTTAAAAACATTATTTTTGAGAAAATTCAATTTTTACTATTAAGTGCAACTTCATCACAAAAATAATGAATTAGAACATGTATTTGTCCCATTTTTTTAAACATTAGTAACTTTGCAATTTATTTTGTATAAAATAGTAAACAAAAAGTCTTAAATTGCCCAGAATAGCATTTTTCATTTTTTAACGAGATATTTTCTCGTAATATATTAATTTTCTCAAATTCTGTATCAATTTTTGAAGAATTTGTAGCTTTCATGCATTACTAATATCAAATTTTAACATAAAGCATCATAAATATATTGCGAAAATGTATCAATATGGTTTGAGTATGAATTTGAAATGGTGTACAAAAAAAAAAAAAAAAAAAACCTGATTATACGACATTTCGCAAGTTTTCAGGCTTTTGTAAAATTATTATTGGTTTTGTTGTTGCAGACAGTTTCTTAGTTTTAATCTTCAAAAGTTACTCTAAACTGGACAAATGATTTCTAAAACAGCCAAAATAGTACTGTTTTTATATTTTTAAACATGAAATTTCTGTATTTTTAAGTATGTAACAAGCTTCTCGCAAAGACAACAAACATCACATTTGATGTATCATCTCATACCTTTATCTTAGAAGCTATTAAACATAAAGACTTAAGATTTTGACTTTATGTATTAATTATACATTTATATTTATACTGAAGTGAAATTTTTTAAATATATTAATTAGTTTTTTCAGAAACAAACTTTTAATTGAGCGAGCAAATATGATTATTATAAATTTATTGAAAATTGTTATTTTTTGTTATGATATCTGCTTAAGAATATTTCAAAAATGTCACTTCAGTATACACAATTGCATTTAACAAACATATAGTACATGCACACAGTAAATTTACACAATTTAAAAAAACATTTAGAAAGCAATTTTTATAAAAATTCTTACCTTGTAAAAATATTATATAGTCTGAGAATCACATAT